ATGGTTCAACGTATTGAATTTAGCACTAATTACACTCAGAACAAGCTGCAAGAACAACTCAAGAAAGACCTGCAAGAAATCCGACAAGACAAGCATATATTCTTCAAAGCCGATAAAAAAAAAACAACCACTACAAGACTGAACTCAATGACTACTCGAACCTTGTACGGAAAAACGTGACCAAAGCCAACAAAAAGACGAAGCAAACCATCCCTAACACGAGCAACTTTGCCGACCTAAAAATCGCACAAAGCCTAGCCCTTGACGACCGAATTGAAATATCAGCAAGCAGAGACGCGTTCATTACATTGAAAGATCACAAACCTGATTTCACGAACAACCCATCCTTCAGACTAATTAACCCCTTTAAATCAGAAATTGGCATAATCAGCAAACGCATTTTTGATAATATCAACAAAGAAGTTATCAAAGCAACGAAAGTAAACCTCTGGAAAAGCACATCAAATGTCATCGAATGGTTTCGTTCAATACCTGATAAAGCTCAACATGCGTTTGTAACCTTCGATGTGTGTGAGTTTTATCCATCCATCTCTGAACAACTACTACAGAAAGCACTAAACTATGCATCCCAGTTCACATCCGTCAGCCCACAAGACCGCCGTATTATCATACATGCAAAAAAATCACTGCTGCACCACCAGAACACACCATGGGCATAGAAGAGCACCATCGACATGTTCGACGTGACGATGGGCTCGTATGATGGAGCCGAGACATGCGAACTAATCGGAACCTATATGTTATCCCTGATTGCGGCAAAGTTTAAAGTTCGAGTGGGCCTTTACCGTGACGATGGGTTAGAAGTATGCAGAGCTACAACTAAAGAAATTGAAAAAACAAAACAAGAAGTTAGCATATTTTTCAAGTCTAATGGCGTGAAGATCACCATCGAAGCTAACAAGAAAGCAATCAATTTTTTAGATGTAACCTTCGACCTCGCAAATGAATCTTACAACACATTGATGAAACCGAACAACAAACTCCTCTATGTTCACAGTCAAAGTAACCACCCACCTGCACTGCTAAAGAACATCCCGGAAAGTATAAACAAGCGATTTACCAGCAGACCATCCAGCAAAGAACTTTTCGATAACGCAAGCCCTCCTTACCAAAAAGCCCTCTACGAAAGTGGCTACGACTATAAGCTTACATATGATCCACAGCCAGCCCAAAAGCG